TTATCACTTTTTATTCTTATGTGTGATTGTTAAATTATTTAATTAAAATTAATTTTTAAAATAGTAGTGATATTAATTGTGAAAACATTAGTTTTAAAATTATTTAGTAGTACCTAGAATTAATTATTTGATAGTAATCCATTTTTCTGAAATTTTTCTTTCCTGACAACAACACACTGTACTAAGTAACTATTCTTGCCGGTTCGGTAAGCCAAACCGGAGGGGGGGAATCGACATAAAATTAGGCGAATGAGACTTCTTCGCACCACGTGCAAGCTTGTCCTTCATTTGATTTTGTTCTCACAATATATGTCGAATCAGGAAGTTAGGGAAGACAATCTTACTGCATCGAAATTCCTCCATATGTGTAGAGAAAACTGGCAATTCTTCAGGTGAGGACACCATCTTCATCAGTTGAGAAAAATCCGTTGCGAACACTACATGTAAAGTCTTCATGCATTTCATTTCCCATATCAAAGCTTCACATTCCACGTGTAAAGGTGATAAACTGTGTCAAAGATTCATCACTCCCATCATTACCTCATTTGATCATGTTTTTCTGCAAAACCATCCTTAAACCAATATGAATGTCCTCACTACGCCATGCAACATCCACATAACAAACTGTTATATTCTCTGAATGTTTCCATTTAAAAGCCATAGTATTAGCTTCAGATCCATTAGGTACCATAACTTGTGCCTCTGTCTAAAGAGCCCCTTCCACTTCTGCCATATGAAGAATTTTCTGTGGGTTGTCATTCTTGCTCTTATAAATCTTATCATTTCTATTCTTCCAAATCCTCTATATATTATTTGTGAAGTGATTTTGTCACATGTCCTCTCTAGAATCAGTTTCACAAAAAAATGGTGACATGTCTACTAGAATTGATGACATGGCCTATGATTAAATATGACATGGACAATTGCATTTAATGTTAATATATATTTTTGGAAAACTTTATAAAATATGGTAACAACTCATATATTACAATTAATGTCGATTTATATTTTTGGAAATAATTTTAAAATATGATAATAATTTTAAAATATATTACAACCAATATGGCATTAAATCTTTCGAAAATATCATTTAATTATATATTTTAAAACTATACAATTTTACTACAAAAAATTTCAAAAATGTATACATTTTAGAAAATTATTAAAATTTAATCGTAAAATCATTAATTTCTTATATATTTAAATATTTAATAAATATTGTCTAATTTTAATTTTTTATAATTATAAAATTTTGTACAAATTTATGTGAAGTTATTTTGCCACATGTACTCTCTAGAATCAGTTTCACAAAAAAATGGTGACATGTCTACTAGAATTTATGACATGACCTATGATTAAATATGACATGGACAATTGCATTTAATGTTAATATATATATTTTGAAAACTTTATAGAATATGATAACAACTCATATATTACAATTAATGTCGATTTATATTTTTGAAAATATTTTTAAAATATGGTAATAACTCATAAATCATTAATAAAAGAAATATATACCAAAATGACATTAAAAATTAGGAAAATATCATTTAATTATATATTTTAAAACTATAAAATTTTATTACAAAAATTTTAAAAATGTATACGTTTTTAGAAAATTATTAAAATTTAATCGTAAATTAATAATTTCTTATATGTTTACAAATTTAATAAATATTGTCTAATTTTAATTTTTGATAATTATAAAATTTTGTACAAATTTACTTAATATATTTAATTAAAATAAATAGATAAAAAATTATCTAAGATTATATTTTTAAATATATACATGCATATTCTTAAATATAATTTAAAATAAACAAAAATATTTTATATTACTTTTTATGTTTGATTAAACAAAATTTTGTATTAAAATAGTGATACGAAAAAGAAAATTTATAATATTAATAAAATTTTAATTTTAAACATAATTTATATTGTATCTGTTAAAAAAATATTTTAAATTTTTTTACTGCACATGGTGCAGGAGAACACCTAGTATATCATAATATCCAGGGGAAATAACTAAAATCATCATCTTTGGGGAGCCTCCAAAAAAGATAGTCCATATTGGTAAAAACCGAGGAAGCTAGGAATATTTCCGGGGGAGAGGAATTCTAGATAAATCCCAGGTTTGTAGCACTGGTGGACATTCAAAAAGTACATGATTAGTAGACTCTTCATCTGCCCCACAAATGCTACATCTAAGATCATAATCAATTCCACGAGTCTTAATATTTTTAGCTACTGGTAACGTGCATGATAAGATTTGCCACATAAAATGTTTTAATTTCGGAGAACACTTTAAATTCCAAGAGAAAGCGAATATGAGGTTAATGGTAGGACCAAAATAAATTGCTCCTTGGCCCCGATCTGGGTACATAGTCTCCGTTCCAAAACCCGATTTGATCGTATACTTATCGGACTCCGTAAACATCCACCCATGTGTAACTCGCCATTGCGTTCTACTAATCGCCAAACCTCGAATAATTGTCACATCATATGGATGAATTTATACATTAAGAAATTCACATTCCAGGACCGATCTACTGGGTTAATAAATTTTTCCACTGTTAGCGAGTGGTCTAAAAATTGGGATTGATTTTTTTTGTAAACGAAAAGATAATTGTAAGAAATTATATAATAGTAATTTTCCTTTTTAAAAACCTAAACAAAAAATGCAAAAGAGTGTTTAATTGTATTTTTTATTTTTCCTTTTAAATTCCAAAAATAGATTTATAAAATAGACTTTTTTCCATTTTTACATCCTAACAAAAAGAAAATTTTAAAAATTATTTATTAGTAATTTGAAAAAACAAACAAATTGACTACAAAAAATTTAATTCAAAAATAAAAAATTAGGATGTTCTCATGTTCTTCTTTATATTTGTTTGGTCATTCAAAAATCTAACACATGTTTGTTAGATTATTTAGTGTTTGATCATAAAAATATATTATTTTTATTGTCACCCTAAGTGATCTTTATATGTGTTGGTTAAAAACAAATCATGTTTCATCTTCATTTTATTACTTTTTTATTTTAAAATATGTAGTATTTTTCTAATTCCTTTTTAGTTAAATTGGCATTATGAAAATATATCATTAAAATAATAAATTAAGAAAATTATTTAATAACAGATAAGTTTAATAAAAGGTTTTTATTATTATTAAAAATGAGAAGAAAATAATTTGAAAATTATTATAAAGTACAAACAGGTAAATTACCAATTAAAATTGGCAAACACTAAAAAAATTGATTGAAATACTATAACTTCAATACCATAACATCTAAGTTTAAGATTTAGTATTTACTGTTAAGGACTTAATATTTAAGAGTTGGGGTTAAGTTATAAGATTATATAAAGTATCTAAATGATATATACATAAAATAATAATATAAAATAGACATTAGATGTTATGGTATTAAAGTTATAGTATTTCAATCAATTTCTTTAGTGTTTGCCAACTTCATATAAATAAAACTACATACACATTAAAGATATTAAACATAATATTTATTATAAAACAAATACATAAAATAGACATTAATCCATAAAATAATATAAAATTACAAATTACTCTTTCTTTTTGACATCAACATAACAGACTCAAACGGACTCTGTGAACCAAATCGGTAACTCTCCATCCATGTGAACAACAATAGACACTTGTTTCTTGATATTGCGTGCTAAACTATCCGTTTTTTTGTTCTGCGTTCTCGAGACATAGATAATCTCTGAATTGGAAAAGCTTTCCCTCAATGTTTTGATATCCGTTAGATAATTTGCAAAAGCTAACCATTCTTCTGATTCCGAAACCCTATTCACCAATTGAGAATTGGTCAATACTGTTATTTCTATAGTGTCTACATATATGATCAATTAACGTATTTTGAAGTGGAATTGAGTCTATTGATTTTTTATCTAAAGAATCATACAGAAAATAAAAAAACAGCAACAACTTTATGTTATACCAAATTTGCATGGACATTATGTTAGTGATTTTGAAGGACCGAAAGCAAATCTACTCTACTTGACTATTAGTAGCAATATATGGATTCTAAGTTCTAACTAGTGTAATCTTTATTACAAATTATCTATTTTGTACGTTTAATATTTAATTGTAGTACATTGTTCAATGTAATATAATATATATATTGTCAAATTCAATGTAATATATATTGTGTGATCTAATAGTTCTATTTTAAATAATATTGTTTTTTATTAGTTTGATTTTTATTTTAACATATTTATATATTGTACGTATTAATAATATACATATATATAAGATATATTTGAATACTCAGGTGAAATATAGTTATAAGGATTAAAATGATAAGAAAATTAATATTACTACAATTGTATATAAGTTATAAAACTATAAAAACTAAACTAAAACTAAATAATGTTTTAAGATTTTGAATAGTAAAAACTCAAATTTAAGGTTTTCATATTTTTTTTTTTTTTTTTTTTTTGTCTCGTGGGGAAATCTCACCCAGGAATCCCTGAAGGTGGAGTCGAACCTCGGTGCCTTGGGTACCACTTAGCCACTAGGCTAAGGCTGTCCCGGCAAGGTTTCATATTTAATACCTATAAATTTAAGGGTTTATATACCTTTTAAAGAGCAAAAACCTCAAATTCGAGGGTTGAAAGTCTATTGTAGATGTTCTAAAAAAATATTTACATTCTATATTTATTACGGCTGAAACTTAATAAAAAGGCTATCATTCTATAGAGTACGATCCAATACTTTATTCTAGAGTGGATAACAACAATACACAGAACGATATAATTCTATTAAGAATGTGTATATTGACTAGATGCCACGGCAAATCATCTGCTAATTAAAAACTAAACGTATGAAAACTTTAGTGGCTGACATGTTTCCTAATAATAGTAGTAGTCTTCACACTTTTTAAATTATAAAAGAACTATACTACTTACTTCTACTGTATTAATTTCTCCAAAGAAAATAATTCCAACAGGGTGTGTCTAGTTATCTACACAAATATTTGGTCAGACAAATGTGTATCACCACTAAATTTTGATGTGGCAAAACTTACTGATACACTTTTGTCTGATCAAATCTTTGTTCATAATCAATCCACAATGTAGGTAGGTTACACAAAGACATAAACACCAAGCATTTGACCTAATCGTATTCAGCACACTTAGCTTTCTCTGTAAAAATAACTGCAAATTTTCAATAACCTTTTTTAAAAGAAAAAAAAAACTAAACGTTAAGATCTTGTCCTGTCGTTTTTAGTTCATTTCTTTTCTCTCTGTTAGCGAACCACTGCGCTGTGTTTCTAGCAATCGGCAACCACAACCTTCTTCTTCTTTCCTCCATTGCAGCAATCACATCACTCCTCGACGTGGAAGCGGTAGAAGCGGCCAAACCGCTGTTGCTTCCACCAACCGCGCTTTCTCTAGTCTCCCTTGTTACTTGACGAACATTTAATCTAGGAACAGCCGTGATCTCAGAAACTGCTCTTCTCGTCGAGTCTTTGTTGTTCACCATTTTCTTCATGTCGATCTCTTCCTCGTTACGCAAGTTACCTCTCTGCACTCGGCCAATGGACGAGAATCTGTCACTAGACAACGAACTCAACATGCCCGATGTCAAAAATGTAAAATCTGAAGGAGTCACATTACTCCAACGGTTCTTAAAAACAGCATCTGAAACAACAATCCTGTGATTGAACTTGTGCATACGTTTCTCGTTTCCTTCTTCCCCAAGCGACAATGAGTTATCATTTTTACCAAACTTGAGTATCTTCCGGAAGCTGCTGAATCTCGAAGACCCATCTTTGATCCCTTCTTCGCGTTCGATATGAATCTCCATGCTCGGTTCTTCTTCTCTTGTCTCAGATAACTGACTCATGATTCTCAAACTGTTGTTACTACAACTCAAAACAGAGAGCTCGTCTTCGATGGAGACTCTGTTTCTACACAAAGGACACGTAGCGTGCTGCTCAAGCCACTCATCAATACACTCGATGTGAAAAGCGTGTTTGCATTTTGGCAAAAGCCTAAGAATCTCAACATCTTCGAATTTAGACAGACAAACAGAACATTCAAGACCTTGTTTCGATCCTTTCAAAGCAGAGAATCTGAAAAAGGGAAGAGATTCAATTGCTGTTTTGTCGAGGCCTGATAATCGAGAAGATTGACTAAAGAGTCCTTGCCATAGACGATCTAGTCGTCCTATGTCCCCGTCTTCGTAGGTCTCTGAACGGAGATCGTTGTGGAAGCATTTGGCGTAGATGAGGAGAACGAAGGTGAGTGTGAAAACGATGGAGAAAACTCCGGTGATGATGGCTAAGCTTGGCTGAAAAAGGTCGTTGGCCGTGTACCGAGGAGGAGGAGGAGGAGGAGATTGAGCAGAGACATAATCTAAGAAGAAGATGGAGAAGAAGAGCATAAAGATTGCTTGTGGTGGATTCATCGTATCAGAACTCAAAAGTTATTTCAGTATATGAATTGTGTGTGTGAGAAAGAGGGAGAGATAATGACAAACATGTTTTGCTGAACACGCAAATGATCTATTAATTAACGTGACATCACTATTGATGTCACTGAGGCAAAATTATACTGGTGGAATTCATTTAAACAGTATAGAATATGTCGATTAATTAAAAAGTAAACAATACTATATGGTCCATATATGGTGTGTTTGAAAATAATTGCTTCTGACCGGTGATTAACTAAGGAATTGTTAGAATACAAGTGAAGGTGAAGGAATATGAACTGAATATATGGACATTTGTGGAAATAAATGTCTAGACATTTGACTTGTGGAGAAAATATTTTTTTTTGTTGTTGTAAATTACCATATATATTTATTTCTTGCATACTGCTTAGTTGTCAAATCAGCAAGAATTTATTTTTAGATCCATGAGTCATTAGTGGATGACTGGTTGGAATATAACTATAGAAATTTAGATGTAAGACTTATGATGTAAGTGATTAAGTTGTAACGGTAAATTTATTGATGTGGATTTTTTTGGAGAGATAATTATGTAATTATGTTAGGTGTATCTGTAATTTTTTTGACTATAAATATTTTAAAATAACATGTGATATATGTGATGTATATATAAAATAATTATTTGATATCAATTAAATATTTTATATTAATAAACAAAATATAAATTATCACAAGTTTAGTATTGTTTAATGTAATATACAAATGACATTTATGTTATTTAAAAATTTAACATTTTATAAAATTATTCAAAATTAAATAAAATTATGTATAATTTAAAATTTATAGTGATAATTAATACTTACACTACAAAAAAACGTTGGTCTAGTGACTACATATATGTATAATTTACCATGAATTTACGACTAAGTTACGTCTCCAAAGGCATTAGTCATAAATGAGAGGTTAATTTGCTACCAATGAACTTTGTGGTACATTAGTCGTAACAGAACGACCAATGTACGACTATGTGTTTGCGTAGTCGTACATTAGTCGTTCCATTACAACTAATGTACGACCACTGGTGTTTGTGTTTCGGTTTAGGGTTTAAAGGCATGTCGATGCTAATTGGTCGTAATCTACGATTAGATTACGCCTAATTGATGGACATAGAGGCTAATTGGTCGTAAATCATTCGAAGTTAATTAGTCATAACATCTTCTATAAAAAGAGCCATCCTCTTCTCCGAAAACCAAAGAAATATTTTGAAATATTTGAAAAAGAGAGTTGATAGATATTGGGATCTTCGGTATCGACCAATGCGAAACCTACGTGATTTGAGTATATGTCTTCTGATTGAGTCGAAAGATTTAAAAAATCTGAAAAAAAGAGAAAGAAGTTACTGGGATCACAACCCCGAAAAGATCAGTGTGGGACATACGTTGAAACGTTGGTTTTGTTTAGAATCTACGGACTTGTGATTCTAGTATCTTTCTTCTTTTTGTCAAATATTACAAAATTAGTCCCTAATTGGTCGTAAATGTCATTAGACACTCATTGGTTGTCATATTACAACTAATGTACATCTAAATTGTTTAACCACCAATTAACGACTAATCAGCGTCCACAGGAGTTGTAAAATGGTCGTAACCGTGCGACTGCATTACAACTAATAGTTTTGCATCTATTTAACTACTAAGTTACGAGTTTCGCAGTTGTACATTGGTAGTTGAAAATGTAAGTTCGTTCTGGCTTTGTTAATGATCTTCTCCCTCATTCTTAAAACGGAAGAAAAAAACAGAAAAATTAAAAAAAAATGTCTAGAAATATTTATGAGATTCAGAGTTGAATGTATGCACATAAAGATTCAAGGGGAAGAGTAACTGACAAATTTCTCAACGGAGCAGAGATGTTCATGAACCAGGCCGGACAAACGTCTCTCACATAGGAAACGGGTAAAATGTTATATACTTGTCATAAATGCAACAATACAAAGTTTGCTGCTAGTGAAACGGTTTGGAAACATATAGTAAATAGAGGATTTACTCCACATTACTATATCTGGTTTAACCACGGAGAAGATGATAATAGGAATGAATCTAGAAGTGGTAATCAGATTGAAAGTGTTCATAACAGAGAGGAACCACATTTGCTTTCTGAAAGTTACCTTCAAGAGGATCATCATATGGTAGATCATGATAGGATGCATGATATGGTCACAGATGCATTTCGTGAAACAACATCTATTATAGAGGAGGTAGAAAATGTAGAGGGGCCTAACTTGGATGCAAAAAGATTTTACGAAATGCTAACAACAACTAATGAGCCAATTTATGAAGGTTGTAGAGAAGGTCTTTCTAAATTATCATTGGCTGCTAGGATGATGAATATCAAAACTGATCATAACTTACCTAAAGTTTGTATGGATGCATGGGCTGAGTTGTTTAAAAAGTATTTTCCAGAAGATAATTTGTGTGCTGAATCTTATTACGAAATTCAAAAACTTGTTCATGGTCTTGGCTTACGTTCAGAGATGATAGATATTTGTATAGACAACTGTATGATTTTCTGGGGAGACGATGCAGAATTTTTAGAGTGTAAATTTGCAAGAAGCCACGATATAAACCGCAAGGACGTGGATAGAATAGGGTGTCGTACCAGCGGATGTGGTACTTATCCATTAAGGATAGACTGAAGAGATTATATTAATCTGAGAAGACGGCATCATCAATGAGATGGCATGGGGAACATACTCAGAAGGAAGGCGAGATCAATCATCCCTCTGATGCAAAAGCGTGTAAACACTTGAATTCGGTGTACCCTGATTTTGCAAGGAACCACCGGAACGTTTATCTTGGGCTCTGTACAGATGGCTTTAGTCCATTTGGAATGTCTGGAAGACAATACTCGCTTTGGCCAGTTCTTGACACCGTACAACCTTTCTCCAGAGATGTGTATGGCAAAGGAATTGCTTTTCATGAGTATATTGATACATGGACCAAAGCATCCAAAGAGGTCACTGGATGTTTTTCTACAGCCTTTGATAAAAGAGTTGAAGGAATTATGGTAAACAGTGCTGCATACGGGATGTTGTTAGGTTGGACGATGCATGGGAGACTATCTTGTCCATATTGTATGGGAATCACAGACGCATTTCAGCTGAAGAATGGTAAGAAAACTTCCTGGTTTCATTGTCATTGAAGATTTCTTCCCATTAACCATCCGTACGGAAAGAATAAGAAACTGTTTCGGTCAAAGAGGGTTGTAAGGGATTCCACTCCACCCTATTTAACTGGAGAAGAAATAGAGAAAGATATTGATTACTATAGAGGACTAGACACAGTCACCATGGGAGGTAATTGGTACACTCTTGCAAATATGCCCGACGGTTACGGACCACAACATAATTGGCACAAAAAGAGTATATTTTGGGAACTTCCATATTGGAAACATCTACTTTTGCGCCACAATCTTGATGTGATGCATATAGGGAAGAATTTTTTTGACAACATCATCAATACTTTGTTGAACGTCCCTGGGAAGACAAAAGATAACAAGAACTCAAGGTTGGATTTGCCTGCATTATATTCTAGGGTTGAGCTGCATATTCAAAACAATGGGAAAATTCCGGTTCTCATTTTCAGATTGTCAGCACCAGCAAAAGCGGCGTTGTTCAAGTGGGTGGTATCTGATGTGAAGTTTTCAGATGGATATGTTTCAAATTTATCAAAATGTGTGGATCAGCATGGACAAAAGTTTTCAGGGATGATAAGTCATGACTGTCATGTGTTTATGCAACGACTTCTACCATTTGCATTTGCGAAGTTACTTCCAAAAAATATTCACGAAGCACTTGCAGGTAACAAATAATATTAAAGTTATTGATTATTACTTTTTGGCCATGTACATTAGAAAGTTTCTTACGATGGCTTGTACATTATTAATTATTCGTAGGCATTGGAGCTTTTTTCAAAGATCTTAGTGCATGCACCTTAACTGTAGATGTAATCAGACAACTTGATGAGAATATTCCGATCTTGATGTGCAATTTGGAACAAATATTTCCTCCGACATTTTTTGACATCATGGAACATCTGGTTATCCACCTTCCGTATGAGGCACTGCTTTGTGGACCTGTTCATAATGGATGGATGTATCCTTACGAGCGGGCCATGAAACATTTAAAAGGGAAAGCAAAAAATCTGGCAAGAGTGGAAGGTTCAATAGTTTCTGGAAGTTTGAATGCGGAAAAATCTCACTTCACGTCGTACTACTTTGGATCACAAGCCCGGACACGGAAAATAAAAACGAGCAGGTATGATGATGGTGGTGTTGTGCCGACATATGTTGTTGAAGACGTTCCAGACATATTCTGTCAGGTTGGACATCTAGGTGGAAAATTGAAAGAAGTTTGGTGGTTGAGTTCTGAAGACCTCATAGTGCCCACACATATATACTCCTTAACTGCGGGAGCTTGAGTATTTTGAAAAGTAAATAGTATTCTTTATATGCCGTAGTGTTTTAATTACCACACAGATACGACGATCCTTAATCATCAATTTATTTTTAAACAGTGATTTTGTTGCCCAAGTTGAATATGCTATACGAGGGATATCAACCAATGATATCAAGAAAAGGAAAGATCAACACCTTGTGTAGTGGTTAAAAACGCAGGTAAATATATTTTTATGAAATTATATATATATTTAATTATCTTTATATATATATATATATTGATGATCGATCCTGCATGTCGATTATGATGATCCATTTTATCCTCAGTGGTAACACAAATTGATACAAGGTCCGGTCGCGAAAGTCACCACAGCATCTATGTATTTCACACGTGGTTACACTTTTCCCACTTACTAATATGGAAACCGGAGAGCAACAATGAACTATGGATTATGTGTGAAAGACGAAACAAATTTCTACGGAATCATACCAGAGATCATCTAAGTAGAGTTCCCTGGCATAAAGCTCAAATGCGTACTCTTCAAATGTGAGTGGTTTGACCCCAC